GACACTTGAGAGTTTGTTTTAAAACTCAGATAATCGTTTCCAGTCCCACTTCCCCAACCACCTCTCGCCCATTCCCTCCCCACCACCTCGAAACTTATACCCCCAGTGTGACACTCCCAAGGGTGATATCTAGATTGGAATAAAAAGTCCCGGCAATTATCAGAAAAACTTGTGTCACATTTCTAAAATTGTATCATTCTGACAAATTGATGATCATTCAATTGAAAGAAAATAAAATTCGTGCAATTATTCAAGATGATAGCAGTGTTTTCAGGACGAACAAACGATTCCTTAGGAGGAACAAATAAAACGTATGCTTTTCATTAATAATCATTAATAATAATAATAATAATAATAGTTTTATAATGTTTCATTTGTTCTTCCTAAGGCATCGTTTGTTCGTCCTGAAAATACTGCTATCATCATGAATCATTGCCATCTTTGACTACTTTCTTTCAATTGATTACCAATCAATTGAAAAAAAATTCTTGAAATTATTCAAGATGATAGCAGTGTTTTGAGGACGAACAAACGACGAACAAACGATTCCTCAGCAGGAACAAACAAAACAAATTCTTTTTTATGTAAGAGGGGCTATATGAGGAGCTATATAGCCCCTCTTACATATGAAAAGTCTTTGTTTTATTTGTTCCTCTTAGGGAATCGTTAGTTCGTCGTTTGTTCGTCCTGAAAATACTGCGATCACCTTGAATAATTGCAATCCTCGGCCATTTTCTTTCAATTAATTGTCAATAAATGAAAATTAATTCTGCGTATGGCACGCTGCGTGTTTTTGGCGTGTGGTAGTGCATGTGGTAGTGCGAATAACAACGGCGTAAATTATTTTTATAGATTATAATGGGGCGACGAGTGGTGGATGATTCGTCACGGTGGTGAGGAGATTGGGACAGCTGGAGATTCTCAGGCAATCAGAAAAACTGGAGATGCTGGGGGGGAGGCTTCAGCACCCTTCAACAACTTTTCCTCCAAGTGGGGTGATGGAGAGTCAGTTGAGTTCCTGAATGGGAACGTCTGCCACTTGGTGGTTTTTTTAAAGTATCTACTCGGATGATCTTCGGTGGGAGATTGTGACGGGCACTTTTATTTGCATTTCAACGCGGTGAGTAATACCTAATTTTATGTCAATTTTTCAGTTTTTCTTTGTAATGGGGGAAGCGCTGGAGTTGTTCTTTCTCCGAGCGTAGTTTTTATGTTGTACAAGGCAAGAAAACGAGGCGCGAAGAGATCGAAGAGGTAGACTTTATTTATGAGGTGGGAATTCTTTTTTTATTGGAAAAAAACAAAATTTGCCTGTTTTATCTAAACAAATACCTCTTAATTCTGGTTTTGAAGATTCTTATTTTTTCACAGTCGGAGGGGATGTATGCAGATATTTTTCAAGAATAAAATTTAGGTAGACTTTACACGGAAAGGAATTCTTTAGAAAAATTCTAGTCCTGTTAAGGAAATTTTTTTTGTGATTTTTGATAAAATTTCCAGTAATTTCTGTAAAAATTCCATATAAGAACGGAAAAAATTCACGTGATAGTCAAGAAAATTATCCAGCGCCGGCACTGAAATTTTTTCCGAGAATTTCTCTCCTTGTATTTACTTCATTGTCAACTTTTTTCCTCAAAATTACGAAAATTGGCCTGTTTCACCTCCAAACTACGCTTCAGTACCAGAATTTATGTTCTATAGAATTAAATTTATAATATTTCCTGCATACAAAACAGGCCATCATCTTTCAATTTAGGATAGAATGAATGATTGACACAACTTACAATCGTTTCCTTTCATTAAAAGATAATAATTCCGCGAAATACAATTTATTTATCATCCCACTGAATCGTCTTTTCTTCGACGATGACGCCGTCTTTTCTCGCGTCAATAATTGATCGAGTAGCAGAGGGTGTATTTTTAATAAATAGAATGTAGACTCGAGAATGAATCGAACGTCCACCTTTTGAATACCCCAACCCCCTATTGTAAGGCATTGAGGGACGTTTTCCGGTTTTTTTCCACCCCTGACATCGAGTGGGATCCGTCAGGGGGCTTAAGGGTAATAGATGCTCCAACGACATTAGCATTCTACCTCCCCCATCAGCGATTATATTGGTATTAACCGTTGACGGGGCGTTATATACACGAGTCATTTATAAATTTTCATCCCTGTAGCGCCCTCTTTAGAACATCAGTTCAGGTAAACAACCCTTCGTGGAACAGAGGAAAGGTTGAAGAATATTTTTCCGGAATATTTTTCTTTGTGATGAAAAAATTGTTACATTTATAAATGAATGTAAAAACGGATCATCATCTCATCATAAATTCACCCAGAGAAATAACGCATTTTAATGAAATATAAACCTCTTTATTTGATTTTTTTTTGAATTGAATAAACTTATTTATTTATTTCAATGAAAATGAATAAATAATCTATTCCAGGGTAACAACTTATTTCATGCAGATGGATTATTACAATTATTTCATTTCTAATTAATGAAGTCTCTATTTGGATCAAAGAAAGACTGTTTTATAATTTTAAAAACTACTGATTTGATGTGATCAAGAGCTCTATTACGAGTTCATTGAAAAAAATCATTGATTTATTCAAACAAAAATGCTTTAATTCAAATAAATCATTCTGTGGGTGTTGAGAGAATGTAGAGGATCATTTCTCAATTTTTTAACAATTTTTCTTCATTCATCACAACTATTTAAACACAAAGTGGAAAATGAATTGAAAATAATTTCATTTATAAATGAATATTCATTATCATCTCGTCATAAATTTACCCAAACAAACGACCCATTTTTATGTAATGAAACTTTATTTGAAATTTTTCAATGGATTTGAACAAGATTTTGCTTCGAAGTGAATAAACGTGTATTCATTTCAATGAAAAAGTTTTACTTACATGAAATGAATGAATAATTCATTTTAAGGTGAACAATTCATTTCATCGAAAGAAAGGATTATTACAACAATGATTTGATTTTTAATTAATGGCGTCTCTATTGCAAAAACTATTGATTTGATGTGAACAAAAGCTTCATTACGAGTCACTTGCGTAAATCCATTGATTTATTAAAAAGAAAATGTTTTAATTCAAATAAATTATTCTTTGGGTATCACTTCTCGTTTTTTCAACAATTCTTTTCATAAATTGAAAAAAAATGTATTTCATTAACAGTTCATTTTTCATTCATTCCAACTAATTAACCAAAAATGGAGGCACATACATCATTCCAAGCACAACAAGCCAGTTATTCCCGCCGAGAAATGGTTAATATCAACCTCTAAAGGGAGTGAGAACTTTGGCATTTGCATATTATAAGTAGTACACGTTACTCCGATATGATCGTGCTCGTTATTCTATGCATACGTATATGCGATTCGTGTGGAAAGCGAAGCAAGAGCTCCAGCCCAACTCCCTTCAACTTTGCCAAGCCCACCCCTGGGGATTCCAGGGTGAATCGTTTTGGCGTATAGTCGAATATCACGCATCTGGCCTGTTGTAATTGGAATATTTTCATTCGGGGAAAAACTGCATCGAAATTCATTGAGCGTGATTGTCAGTGTGAGGGTTTTGGGGAGTGGTTATTGTTGGATCTTCGGAGACGGGATTAAGTTGCTCGGGGATTGGTTGCTGGCACTGGGGATACCCTTTCGGGAGGGAACATTTTCGTGGGATTATGTTATCATTTTGGGTGAGGGGTGTTGAGGCAATTTAGGTGAATATATCTCATAAGTTTTATAATTTTGGGAGGAATTGGCGAGTGACGGGTATTTCAGTGTAGAATTGTCTAGTGATTTCAAGATTTTTCTTCGGTTTTTTTTGGAATATTTTTTGTTAATCTCATCCATTTTAAATAGTGAATTCAATAAATTTTCTGCTTAATCCGTCTGTACTTCCCTCATTCATTTGAATGAATTGAACATTCCAACATTGAATTGTCAATTAACTCAAAATTGCAGAATATATTTACCTGAATTTACCTGATTTATATTAATTTTCGTGGAATAATTGAACGAAATTCTACAGTTTTGATGAATTTTTCCATAAAACTGTGAATTTTTTATTACGAAATGTCTTGCGATTTGAATGAAACTATAATGTGATAAATATTTGCAAAACGTCTACCGGAAATTTCAGCTAAAATTTTTAATAATGAATGGAAAGACAAGAATTTCCGGATATACTTGAATTTTAAATCAAAGCCTGAATATTCAGCAATAAATTACTGAGAATTCCCAATGAATTAAAAATTCAAGAATATATTTACCTAAATTTTCCTGATTTTCATCAATTTTCATGGAATAATTTAACTGAAATGTATAGTTTTTTTTAATGGTTACATTGATTTCCTTGAATAGTGAATTTTCAATTACAAAATTCCATAAAATGCAAGTGAAGCTATCACTCGAAGAAAATTTGCAAAAATATGCGACTGATAAAAGTGCCTTGAATAATTAAGCAATTAAGCGTTCTTGCGAAAATATTACCTAGAATTTTTCATCATTTTCTTTTCTTCCTTTTTCCTCATCCCTAATACGAACTAGTCATGAAGCATTATTTATCATCAAGATAATTCCATTTATTATCACACGATGTGCAAACAATTAATTCAACGGGAGACATGAACATCATTGGACGGAACGAAAGAAAATTGAAGGACCATAAGATGATCAGAAAGACGATCTCCAAGCATACCAAGAGGGCTCTCCTCGACTTAATTAATAAGGACACGCGATACCCATCCAAGACGTTGAAGGCGTGCCAAGCTCGAGGGATTCGTGTCCTTTGTTGTTTAGAAGGGGTCAGGGGGCCACTTTAACCCCCATGGTCGCTCGAGGGCTCGCTGTGTCTCAAGGCAGCACGTACTTCAAACTTACAGTGCGTCAGTGTCTCAAAACTAAATCTGAAAATCCCTCACGGGGTCTGAGATGATCGTCGGAGTTTACACAGGCCTCTACTCGAGGATTATTCGAGACTCACCTGGGGCTGGAGATGCGTCACCTGACGCTTTATGTGAGCCAGAGTTGCCGTTGGCGGGGGATGGAGTGCCATGTTTGCGAATACCAGTCGCTCCTCGTAATCGTACTCGCAGAGAATTTTATTTTCGCATAAATAGAATCTGTCGCCCACGCAAAATCTGGAATGAAAAATTTTTTATTGAAGGCGGGAGTTGGAAATTAATGATGGGGTGTTTGATGTGATGCCTTGCAATTGAGTCGTTAAGTGACGAAACAGGAACATTCACTGATAGAATGATTCATTTATTCCAAACGAGATTCGTTAATTATTAACGAATGGTTCTTTTGGAAGCTGAAAGTCAAGTCGAACAAGATTTCTCAAATATGCATTCGTTAACTACTTGGTGAGACTAAATCAGTAGCAAAGTTGTAAAACGGTTCAAGTCGACTTATCTCTCAGTTGAGTTCTTGAAGAATATCTCCGAATCTGAAGGAGATAATGAAATTTTCGTAATAACCTTTTGTCTAGAGCAAAGTGAGTGCTACAAAAAAGGTTGTGACGAAAATTTAGCTATCTTCCTTAGATTCCGAGGTATTCACTAAAAACTGGCCAATAGTCAAAATCGACTTAAACCGTTTTAACACTTCGTTACTGAAATAGACCCTATTCGCAATAGACCCTAGCCTTCAACCAAATCCATTTGCCAACAATAACTTATCCTGTCTATCAGTGTTAGTGGAAATTCAGGGCGAGTTTTTAATGAATTTTGGCGGAAGGCCTTCGGAAACTTAGATTCGACCCATACGAAAAAATATATATTCTAAAAATTATATATTCGATATATGGAATTGGCCTGATTTATATATAAAAGTTATAAAAGTTATATAAAATAGAAATTTATATATGTTTCATATATATATTTGATATAAATTAGTTTCGTGAAGTTTAGTAACACGAAGTTTTTTTAGTATTTCAAATAAAGTTTAAATTTTTTATTTCGACATTTCTGGCGCCTCCGAGGGTTTCTTTGGCATTAGAGGGGCCAATAAATACGGAATCAACATTCACTTGACGAAAAAAATCGATTTTGGCAAAAGTCGACTTTCCCCCGGGAAAAATCCTAGATCTGACCCCTTGGCCCCAAGTGAAAATTCAAATTTTTATTTTGACATATCTGGCTCCTCCGAGTGTTTCATTGGGCTCAGAATCGCTAGTAGATACGGAATCAACGTTCACCCGGCTAAAAAATTCGATTTTGGCGAAAGTCGACTTTCCCCCTGGAGAAACGGAAAATCTGACCCTTTGAAAATCTGAAAAAAAAAACTTTTTCGCTTTTCATTTTTTCCACATACTTTTGAGAGTTCTGAGTAGCCCGTTGCTTAAATAATTCGAATCAACGTTCACCCGGCTAAAAAATTCGATTTTGGCAGAAGTCGACTTTCCCTCTGGAAAAACCGAAAATCTGACCCTTTGACTCAGGATGAAGAAAAAATTCTTTCATTTCAACATTTCTGGCGCCTTCGAGGGTTTCATTGGCACTAGAGGGGCCAATAAATACGGAATCAACCTTCACTTGACGGAAAAATTCGATTTTGGCGAAAATCGACTTTCACCCTGACCCTTGACCCACGCGAAAATGCAAATTTTTTTGTTTCTTTTCTGTCATTTTCGAGGGTTTCATTGGCATCAGGGGGGTCAATAAATACAGAATCAACGTTCACTATTTTTTATTTAAAACACCGCCTGCAAACGGAGAGATGAGGGTGGCTAAAATATATTCTGCAACCCTCTCTCCTCGTTGGCTACAAATTTCAACCCTCCGCATACATGCCTTCCCCTCCGCCCCCTCGTGAAATCCCGAGGTCTCGGTAGTATATAGGAGGACTTCTCAGGGCCGAAAAGAACTGAGGATTCCAAAGGTCTCCGGAAAACTACGTCGCAGAACTGATTAGGACTTACCCGGTCAATCTAAGTCTGCAGAGATCTTGAAAGACCTGTGTACATCCAATCAGAACCAAATCCTCGACTCGGGATATCCTAAAGATTTGTTCAAACATATCTGCCAAGCATTTTCCACTTCTCGATCCTCATCTTGAAATAAGGCGTCGCCAAGAGCTCCGCTAATTTCGTTCAAGTCCGCCTTCCGCTCGCGGAAATTGCTCGGGCGAATAAAGACAGCAAAAAAGAGCAAAACACACGATCAGACGTTGATCGAAAAAATAAATTCCCACCCCAGTGTAACCACCCAAGCTGTTTAAATTTAAATAACCAGTGGATTGAACGCCTCAGTTGTGCTGATTCTCTCAATCATCAGAGGCTTCAGGGCTCATCGAGTCTTCAACAAAATAAGAAACCAAGGAGAATTTCGTCGAAATACGTGCTCCGCTTGGGTTATGATTTTCGGGTGTTGTGTTGGGGTGGAGGATCGTATTCCGGTTTACGTACCGTACCAACTGTCGCCTCGGAAGCTTTAAAAAAAAAATTTTCGTAGCGCAGTGTGTGAGGTTCTTCACGTTTTTCTTTTATTGCTGGTTTTAAAAGCTGATCTTTTACCCGGGGATTTTTCTTTCTCTTTATGTTTTTGAATGACGACAGGGGATAGTGTCGGGATATGCATGTAGAGTGGTGAGAGAACGGAGGGATCTGGGGAGGGATTCAAAAATCGTTCTGAAATTATTTGAAATTCCCGGTGAGTCCCGGGGACATCAGTCTTTTCGGATCTTCTTTTATCGAGTGTCATTATGGTTTTATTCGAGGGGAGTGATGGGGTGTCGTTTGTCATTGGAACAATCGGAGTACCTCATGACAATTTCGATTGTAATTTTAGAAAATTACTGGGAGAATAAAAAGTAAAGAATCTTGACATTTTTAAACATGATTAATTTATAGGCAATTATTGCTTCCGATTTTTTTTAATGAAATTCATTCCTTCACTCGTGTTTGAGAGAATTTTAAAACTTATTGATCAAAGTGACAGATGAATATTCTACATATGCATCATTAATTCTTCGGTTGCATACCAAATATGAAGGTCTGTTGATACAGTGTCCAAACATCCCGGGGTTTACATTATTTATTTATTCACTAGCCATTGAGTATTCTGGTTACGCCCATGCTAGCCACGATTCTACATCAGGATTTTCCCCGTCCAGTGGTTTATACCCGTGCTTATGCTAATGCAGACGTGATTCCTTTACTCCCCAAATATATTTAAAATTGCAAAAATGCCCAAACAATCGCGGGAAAATGCCAATTTTTTTTTTAATAAAAAATTGTCATGGAATTTCTTTGCATGGTGACGGTGTTTTCCATTACCATTCATCTTTCCTTTTAATTTCCCGGGAATCGGAAGTATCTCCAACACTATAGAAACTACGGTGCCATCGTGGAGCCATAAAAACCAATGTGGCATCGTAACGGGGTACGATAAGTACATCCCATTGTGTTTTCCCCGATGGCATCGAAATCGATGCCTCCCGAACATCAAAATACCGTGTCATAAAAAGCCGTAACCCACACTCCAAACGAGCCTGATTTCTGTATAATGTTCTCGGTGATTTTCTGACATGGATGTGTATATATATTTGCCGTGATAACGTGGAGGATAAATACTCCTGAATGCTTCGGGCATTAGGCGTCTGGAATTGACGATATCGATCGGAGGTTGGAGTGGGAGAATTGATAGGAACACTGAATACACAGAGAGAAGTCAAAGGAAATGTTTAACCCTAGTTGGTCACCATATGAGAACTTGCGACTTTGGTCACCTCCGCAGGGAATCACCGCCGTGTTATTTAGGCCCGAGCGTTGCCGAATTCACTCTATACTGCCCGTGCGCGTTTAGCGAGACTTCGGCAACGTCGCACAACGGGCAATTTCATTTAACATGGGAAAAAATTGCCCGTCTGTTAGAAATAATTTTTTTTCTTCAGGAATTGTGGATATAAATAATTTTAAAAAATATTATAATTGTCTAGACACTTGAATTGACGCATTCCAATTTTTTAGGATTTTTCCGCTCAGCCAGTCAATGGTAAGAAAAAAAAATCGACTTTCTGCGGCGTTTCTCTCCTATGGTGACCAACTAGGGTTAAATACTGGGAGAAAAAGTTTTTGGTTTCCAGTAAGAGTGGCGGGATTTTAACGCTCCGTGAGACTGAAATCCGGAGAGAAAAAGCTCTGGATTCCGCTGAAATTTCTCCGAGAATCGGTAAAATTAGTTTTTTTATCATTAGTGCGTAAAGTGGGATTTTTAGCATGTTCCGCACATTGTGATGAAAAATAGGGTTCGAAACTCGTGGGAAAAGTGTTCTTTGATCCTTGGGAGCGTAGCACTCGCCTTTGGCGAGCGCTGTACATCTCCCACGGGTCAAAAAACACTTTTACGCGCATGTATTGAAATATACTGTTTCATTACTTGTGCGTAAAGTGAAATTTCACGCACGCTCCGCGTGCGAAAAATTCTACTTTGCACGCATTGTGATACAAAAACGGTTTCGGCATTCGTGGAAAGTGTTCTTCGACCTTTGGGAGAGTCAAAGAACACTTTTACGCACTCGTATTGAAATATAATATTGTGTTACAAGTGCGTAAAATTTCACTTTTCGCACGTATATGTAGCACATCCTATTTATTGCAATACCTGCCGAATTTATTTTTGGGGGGTACAGCCAGTACAGTAAAAATGAAAAATCACAATATCGAAGATACCAAAACAACTTTAAACTTTGATTTATCCTAACCGAATTTTTACTCGTGCCAAATTAAATTTAACTTTTATTCTACTCCTTTCTACTACACCGACTTGCAATTCTTACTCTGTTCAGCAGTAAATTTTGCGTGTGGCCGTACCACAGTAAAAAATAATTTTGTATTTTTCCCGTATAAAGGTCAGGTTGTGTGTAAAGTCAATTGAGAGGAATTGCAAAAGGAATTGCAAAAAAGTTGTATATATATCAAACTGAAATTCTATTTCTATTATTTTCATCGAATTATAGATTTCCAGTGACGAAATTCTTTGCAATTTCAGTAAAACCGTCCATCGATGAACAATTTGCAAAAATAAGTCCATCAGATTGTTTAGGCCAAAAATTTTTCATAGTGTATACGCAGGAACTGTTTACAATCGAATCATCAAGTGAATTTGAAGAAAACCTCGGAATCCCAACGCAAAAATTG